CCCAGGCCCGTAACTGCAACTGGGCCTGGACGCAGGCATTGAGGCCCGACTGGAAGCTACTGGATGCTCGCCCAGCCAGGCCCAGAGGCAGCAGACGCTGAGCTCACTGTCCATATAGGAAAGTGAGCATCGCTGGGAAAGGCATTCTGGCCTAGGCAGGCAATGCGGCCGCGCTGCTGCGTTGCAACTTCATGTTTGACACGAAGCTGCCGGCTGGGTCGCGCACACGGGCGCTGAGGTGTGAGGTGCACTGCTGGGCAGTGGGCGCACGGCAGCCATAGCCGGGTTGCTGAGCGCAGGACTGGATGGCGATGGTGGTCTTGGGGAGTTGAGGATGCACACTGTGGGAAGTCAGGGTGATGAGGAGAGACGAGATACATACCTGGTGCATGAGGGAGGTCAGCTATGGTGTTGACGTCATGTACATTGATCTTCAAGGTCGAAGTGAGCCTGTTGTGTGAATGCTGGTGTAGTAGGATAGGCGAGTAGTGTAGGCTGGGCGCTGGGCGCCAGACAGAGTAGGAGCGACATTGGCCCGTGAGTTCATTGTATTGCTCTTATCTGGATGGAATCTCGGGTGCGTTTGCGCTCTCTGCTTGTACATGACTACTTGGACATCTGTGTGATTTCGCAACTTGGTTTTCTGTATATCGCTCTTGCTCATATTCCTTGCAATTTGGTATCAGAGCTGGTTCGGATATCGCCATTCTGGCGCTGGTGTCTTGGTTACTCGGTGCGTGGACGAAGCTTCTATGCAGTGAGGATACCTTGGCGCTGGCTTGATTAGCCCCACCCAGGTAGAGGAATGAGGGGCTGGAAGGCTGTGGCGACAGCGGATGTGTGTGGAATGATGAGAGCATGCTGACATGGCATTTTGGCTGAGGTGGCACGACATTGTGTTGTTTGTGGTACCGAGGCTATGACCGGTCATCAATTGGTGAGAAATCTGTGGTTGGGGGCAGCTATCTCCAGGTACGTTGTTCCCTTACCTTATCTTCCCTCTCAATCTCTTCTTACCGAGAGGAAGTGAGTCCAACTTTGAGTGTCCTCTCTTTTCTGTAAGGAGACCTGAGTGCTCTACCTTGAGAGACGACATTCTTCCTGGAGGCGCATCTGGCAGGAGAGGGCGGTGCCTCTGAAGGGCCCTGGTTGAAGCACGGGTCACGGTCACCATGCCAACCCATGGGAGTAGTACAAGCAGGCCATGCTGCTTTGTCCATTGAAGGCTCTTTGCTGCGCTGATAGAAGGGGTGTGCGGACTGACCAGTCCTATGCAGACGCTCCCAGACCGTCTATAAACATTTCTGGTTGGGGTCTGAACTGTCCACTGGCTGTGATCGTCGTCCTGATTGCGACGTTAATAATTCCTGAGGACTCTTGGGGGCCGTCTTTAAATTGCCTCTTGATCAGCCAGATCAATCAGACGGAAGGCTCGTTGCAAGCGAGGATAAAGAACGGGCAGGCTGGTCATAAGCATACACCTTGGGCACAGGGGTGGGCCGCTAATGCACACCTTAGACACCGCTGCTTGATGATGCTCATCGGTACGTTGGATACAGGGGAAGGAAGGTTCCAGTTGGTGCTCGATTATTATTATTATTATTCTAGTTCCATTTCCACATACATCTGCGCAAATGATTTATTTCATTTTGATTAGTTGAGGTGTGACAGACTGCTAACACCTGACAGACAGCTCTAGACCAGAACTGAAGTAGTCTACCATTGCCAGTTCTAATTACTGCTGCTGTTGGAGAACTAGTCAGAGTAGAAGTTAGATCATTTGCATGAGTCTGTATATTTTCGGTTAACACCGCTTGAACTACGTTCTGAAATATGGACCGAATAATTATTTTATTATGTTTGTTGTGCAAATCGGTCAGACCCTATGCTGTGGTAGGTTCCGACGAGGACACTAGTGCAGACAGCGGTCTGCTATAGCTGATGTGGGGGTGTAGCGGTGAGTAGGAGGAAGTTGACTAACAGAGACTGACATGGCGCAGAGCCTTTAGGAAGGCTGCCGTGTAAGTCTGCTGACCTGACTGAAAGCAGTGTGTACTGTTGGGTCTAAAAGGCAGCAGCAGCAGCAGAGCAAGAGTTAGTAAAGGCTGCCGCAGCAGCAGCGACATAAGGATCCAGCAGACAAGCCATGCAGGCTGATGCACTCTCTGCCCAAGTAGGTGTTAGTCAGACAATTTGTCTCACGTCAAATGGCGAGCTCGCAGATCAGCAAGCCGCTCCAGCTCACACTAGCCGACTTGGACATTCAGGAGGCATTATACATTCCTATTCAGTTAGAAGCCGAGGTCAGAGACGCAGAGGACAGGAAGCAGAGGATTAGAGAGAGGGCCATACTAGTTACTGGAGAAGACGATGGCAATGTTAGGTTAGAGGGATAGGAAGGAAATAGACTCAGTAACGCAGAGCAGGATCTGCCGGCAGGCGAGGTAGGCATGCAAGAGTCCATGTCCATGCGAGAAAGTATGGACACTTTTCTCCTTTCCAGCCAGGTTCAGATACAGAGGGTGGACAGCAGACGTGGACAAATTAGTACATCCTTAACTGCGCTGCTCGGTGTCCGGACTGAAAGGCAACCTTTACTTGTCTCATCGTCGGCCATTAGAATGCCGCCGGTGTCAGGTCTTTCTCCCGCCGGTGTCAGGTCTTTCTCTAGCTAGGCTTGGTACTAGTCTGTCAGGCGGACAGTTAGCTATAGACATGCAGGCTCAGTATGCTTCTTTATCTTCCTTTCAGACGGCTGTTACTACAGAACAGCCGCACATACCCCAACCTGCACAGCAAGTGGCAGTGCAGATTGATGGTAGGACCCAATGGGTTCCGAATGCAGCATTAGTACAGGTGGAGTCTCCTACAAGAGTAGGAAAGACGAAACCCTCGACGTCTGGTGGAGGCAGGTGCTGACGCACATTAGGAACAAAGGAAGTAGGTGATTGCTGCAGCAGCACGGTGGTTAGAAGGGTTAGTACAGCCAAATGGGTAAGACCGGGGCCTTGGTTATTGCACTGAGGTCTGGTGTCTTAGGCTACGGGTCCCAAGGATGTTGTAAGGGACCCTTGATCTCATGATTACTCCCTAAAGAAAGAATAGAGAATGGGGTAGTCCTCGGGACCACCGCCATTGCGTACGAATACCGTTTCCTATAGGAGTCCAGTCAAAGGGAGGAAGAAGAAGCTACCCCAGGATCAAAACCATAAAAAGGGAAGTTGTACTCTATTTAGTTTCTGATAGAATCAGGAAGGGGTAGAGGGAGTTTATGATCCTGGGGGGGGTGTAGACAGAGCGATCGGCGATCAGAAGACTTATGTGGGAGAAGTGCTGGTCGTCTTAAGAGAAGGCTAAGGCGACTGGTTTGCAGTAAGATAACCAGTCTAGGAGCCAACAGGAAGACTCTACCTCACCAATAGGTATACGTAGAGTCTTGCAATGGGTGTGTGGAAAACTGACCCGTCAGGAACGTTGCGAAGGGTGTGGCCTGTACAGTCATACCAAGAGGCAGGGTTCAAATGAGTTGGTCACTGTGAGGGTGCAGCCTCATTGAGGGCATGAGGCACTCTCAACCTGGGAAAGCACTGCGAGCAGTTCCCAGGGTAAACACATCTGGCACGGGGAAGTTGTAACCGCTTCTGCGCAGAGTGAGATGGTTGAAGATCCCTCACCTTCTCAAATGGTGGTCGAGGTTACTGGCTCCTTAGTCACCCCGCAGGCACAACTAGACCACACGATGCTCTGATCATGAGATGTGCCTGAGACCTTAGAGGAGC